GGGGGCCTGAGCGCCTTTAGTTTTAAAGGCCGAAGTTCCAAAGCCACGAGGCGACGAACAGGTCGAAGTGACGACGGTCGTGCACATGTGCAGACCTCACTAGCACTTTACCGGAAAAGTGTAGTAAAAGCTTCTGATTTGGCGCGTAGCCATTTGCACGAGGGTGTGCATTGCGGATCTGAGTCACAATGCTGGCGGCGGTGATCATATCTTGCGTAGTCCTTGGATTTGGCTCTCTTGGATCACCTTTAGCCATGAGTTGCTTCTAGAGTCCACCAGCACGCTCGACTTGTCCCTGCTTCCAGGGGGCTTCCAATGGCATTGCCTCTTGCTCGACTCCAAACTGCTTGAGGTAGTCGGCGAAGCTGCCCAGAAACTCTCGTCCTCGATCAACCTGGACTGATTTGGGAAGGCCAGCCCAATGAACTCCAACTGGTCAGGAAGTGTCGGAGGACTGCACGAGAGGCTGGAGGTCCTTCGGCCTCGCCCAAACAAGAGACACTTGGAATCCGGTCGACTGGTTGGTGAAGAAGGAGAACACATAGCGACCTGGTAGTCAGACTGGCTTGGGACGTCGTCGAGCGACGCTCTCACCGCAAGTATCACAGCTCATAACTGCGGCAGCTCTGATGGCTTCGGGTCTTGCATTCTGCCGGCACAGGATCCTCATCAAAGTACTTGATGTTGGGTGACCAAAGTTGACGTGGAGGGTTCGCAACACTTTCCTGAGGTCAGGGTCCACTTGAAGCCATTCTTGCCGTCGTTGAGCTTCTGGCTTACTCAAAATAGGGTCCAGCCCAGCAGCGACACGCGCGCGAAGCTCGTGGTCTCCTAAGGGTTCCTTTTTGAGGAGCCGGCTCATCTTCTTCTCCGTCTTGGAGTTGTGGCTGATCAAGTTCGGATGGACGGAGGTAAACTGGAGGAGCTGCATATTGGTCAGCAAGCATCCTCCTGTGCCGTCGAGGTCTTCTAGGTTGATCTCGCTGCCCTGCTGGAGAAGCTTCTTGCACGTTCTTGAGAGCACGCTTCTCAATCTCAGCCTGTTCGATCACGGTCAGGAGGACCAGGCTGTTGAGTTGCTGTGGCCAAACTGAAGCCTGCGCCGTGCGCGGTCCGCCTTTCAAGACTTCATGGCGGTGTGAACCGTCGCACTTGCAGTTGTTGAAGACACTGGAGGCAGCGATTGGGCTTCCCATGGGGAAGCTTTGACTCCGCATCGTAGTGACCCACCACGCAGCCATCGACATGGATCTTGGTCAACTTGCCTTCTTCAAGGAGGCGCTTCACTTTTTTCATCTCGGGCTCATCATGGCTTTGTGAACCACGTGGCTGCTCCAAGAAGACATGGCGGCTGGCATTGATGCGGTCTTTCACTGTTTTGTCGATGGCTCGCAGGACAGAGCGGCCTTGCTCTCTGAGGTTCTCGACCGTCTCGGCAGCAACTCCACCTTTTGCCAAGTTGAATCTTGACCAATTGCCCCATGGACCACAAGGGTATGTGATGACAACCACATAGGGGTCCTCGAGGAGCAGATCATGGTGAAGGCGCGGCTTTCCTGTATTTTTTTTCAAGCGGTTTAGCTGGAAGAGCTCGAGTCCAGGGGGACACCAACATACACACCGAAGAGAACTGCCATCAGAGTAAGGCCCATTTGGCCTGCGAACAATTGCTTCAGCCATTT